GGAATGTGCGAGCTACTTTGACGCTGTCGAGCTTCGTGGCTTCATTTTCCGTGAACTTCGTAAACCTTTGCATGAAGTTTTCAACTCTCCCCAAATGGTTTCTTTGTCCTGGATAAAGGAATGTGCTCCAAAGGGTGGATGAGTATATCGGATCTGTTAAATCCATTTTCGACTGCGATTGCTTTTCAATGAACGCACACCACGAATGGCGAGTCCTGGTCCAGACACTTCAGTAGGTGTATTGTGGCTGCCTCTGGTTTTTGGCTCTTTTTCTTTCATTGCAAATTGGCGCCTAAAACTAGGTGGTGTAATCACAGTGTAGACAGTGCAGTAGCCTTGTGCCGTGAATAACTCAGTATCCACCTAAACAGCCCTATTTGTAGAGGTGTAATTCTGTAGTTAACTTGTTAGCAAGAATTGGTTTACTCTAAAAAAATCTGAAATAACATTGTTTTACCTGAGTGAATAAATAGCAAGAATGTAGTGGCTTAAAGCAGTATATTCGGTATTGTTGGTTTTTTAAAAAATGAGTTCAGTGTTAATTTTTTTAAAAAAAAGTTTAAAATAAATGCAAATATAATATAAAATAATATTAAAAGTTTAAAAAGTTAATAATAAAAGTTTAAAATATAATGCAAACTGGACATTTGAAGCTGAGACTTGCCTATCCTTATTTCCAAAGGTGATCGCCAGCTTTGGTTTTCACTTAGTCATTAATGAATCACTTGGATTTTCTTTAGGAAATAGGATTGAGAGATGGTTTAATTGGACATGTGTGCTTCAATTTCTTTTGAGCATTTTTTAAAAAGTAATGATGTCTGTAACTGTGTTTGTAATTTCCTTGAAACATTTATTAGGCCAGTGGTTAAGACCAATATTTGATGGGTTTGTATTAACATGATTTCAGGACGTAAATTTTTTCCCACTTTGGTGTCTCTTAATTTAGTGGTTCGATGAATTCCCCTCACCACCACCCCCCCCTTTTGGGTGCACACACACCTTTGACCCTGGCATTTCTTGTGTCTATGTGTAGTCAGTTTGGGACTTAATTTTATAGGCCTGCCAATTTAATACTAACATAGTACCCAGGAACAAATCCATTCTTTTAGGTTTGTGACCATGTAATATTGTTTTAGGTGAAGGGTCACAGTTCCTATATAGTCTCTAACTCTGTTCCTTTTATCCTTGTCCAGTTCTGAAGCAAAAAACAGTGGTGGGATATTCATTAGGAGCAGTGTGTCCTTCTACAGTGAAGGACGCCAATTGTTTATACCTTTGTTCCCATGGAGATGAGGACCATTTCCTGTTTGGAAACATTTATGGGATTACTGAGTTGTGCTGAGAGTGCTGAGTTGATTTGACTGTGCAGCCACATTTTAGTAAAATGTGGCACAGCTGGATAATTAGAAATATATGGGTTTTAATAAAATGAATTTACTTCTGTACTGGTAAGACAGTATTCAAATGCACCAATACATGATTTTGGAAGCTTGCCAGAAAGTTAAGAGAAGGTGTGACTCTGTCCATTCTCAAAGACTTGTTTTGCTTCAACTCAGTAAAAGCCCAGTAAAGCATTTAAAGTGGAGCATATCATTTGCTTCTATAATGTAGAAATCTTTTACATAATTCTACACAAGAGAGGAAGGGCCAGAGACTGAGACCATGATTTTTTGTCATTTAACTACCACGCAATTAAGTTGGTCTTTTGCATTAAGAGATGTGTTGAACAGACAGACAGGAAGGTGCTGCTTTACCATACTAAATTACATAATCTCAGTGTTAGAAGAATTGGAAGTCTTAAAGATTATGGTTTTTGTTAAGAATGGATATATCACCTAGGATGCAGAATAGAAAGGCAAAAGAATTCACAAGGAAAAATTTATTTCCAGATGCAACAAAGCCTGAGCACTGAAGACATGTAAGCCATCATGATAAATGATTTCTGAAAATTTGTCAAAGGATGATTATGAAGAAACCAAGAGGACTACAACTGCTGTTTTTATAATGAGCCAAAAGTTCCATGTGAGTTACTGTGCTTTTATTCCCTGATGTGTAGGTTTAATAACTGGCACTATGATGATTTATTTTGCCGTTTACCCATCTGAGTGTTTCTTTGAAGAAATAATGTTAAAACTGAGGTGCTAGTTATTTTTATTGATTATGTGAATTGTTTAATAAAATTGCATGTTGTGGTGAGTGCAATATTCTGCTTCTTCAGCCTTAGGTAACTGGGTGAATATTCCGGCCCTTAATAGAATGCATTCATTAGCTCAGGTAAGTAGTAGATTGTCAAACCACACCTGTAGGCACTTTGCAAATACTAGTAATCCTTGGAGGGTGAGGCTACTTTCAGCCAGAATAACAGGGCTAAGGTAAATCTGGGGTCTGCGTTCCTTTTCTTATGTTGATTTTTGAGAGGGTAATAATTGAGTAGTGGAGCTAACCACGAGGTTGGCAGTTAGAACCCACCAGTCATTATGAGAATAAATAAAGGCAGTTTGTTTAGTCTGTAAGATTTAGAGCTTTAAGAACCCTGTGGCGCATTTCTGCTCGCTGCTTTCCGAGTCCATATGAGTCAGAATCCACCTAATGGCAGTGACTTGATGAAATGTTGAAGCTATATGAACTTAAGTGCAAGATCTTTTCTACAGTTGGTTTCTGATTTTTCTCTTTGGTCTTTTTTTGAGGTGTGCCATGCAACATTGTGAACAAGAAAAATGAAGTCATGGAAACAAGAAGCAAATGGTGATGATTTTGGCATTGATAATCTTTCTTCACAATAATTATAGAAAAGTACATGCTTGGATACATGATGAATACTAGACAATAAAATCTTTTAAATAAGTTTCAAGTTTTTCTTTTTAAAACTAACATTGTAGAGAAAGTTTAACAAATTAGATTGTCATTTAACATTCTGTGTTGTCATCCTCATTTCTATTTTCATAGCCACTTCGGAGGGGCCACCGAATCAACTACAACTCATAATGACCCTGTTAACAGCATCTAAACTGTACCCCATCCTGTACCATCCTCAATGTCAGCATGGCCGTTGTGGTCACAATCTTATCTCTGATCCTCAGCCTTTCCTAACATAGTCACTCATCAGAACTCTGCTAGGTTACAATGTTCATATCAGTACAGGCTCATTGAAGAATGGTGATTCTCTGTAGACCTCTAATAACTAGCTTCATACTCATTCTTTAGCTAAAGTCCTTATTTAGTCTCCCCTTTAGAACTTGATACTAAATCTGGAAAAGTTTATTAGAATACCCTAGCCCTGTTGATATGATACTTCTTGTGGGTACATGGTTTTCCTCCTGTGATTTTTAAATTTAGGTTTAAAGATAAGTTTTGCCTTCTACAAACTAAATGACCAAATAGTCCCTCTTGGGTAGTTTCTGTATATGTATTGAATGTAGTGGCTAGAGTGAAAATGGTGCAGGCAGTATGGTGCTTTCTCAAAAAGTTGCAAATCGAAATACCATTTGACCCAGTAGTTTCACTAATGGGAATATACCCCAAAGAAATCTTAACCACCACCCACACAGATAGATGCACACCCATGTTTATTGTGCCTTTGTTCACAGTAACAGAGTTGGAAACAACCTAAGTGCCCATCAACAAACAAATGGATAGAGAAGCTGTGGCATATTCACAGTGGAATATTATGCTGCATTGAAAAACAAGGAACTCATGCAGTATTATTCAAAATGGGTGACCCTGGAGGACATTATGCTGAGTGAAATATCTCAGACACAAAAGAACAAATACTGCATAGTGCCGCTGTTGTAAAACGGGACCGACATCATGGTTGGGGTGAGACTGAAAAAAAATGGGATAAATTATGTATACTGCATTGAAACAGATAAGGGAGAGAACTGTTTAAAAGGGGGAAATGATTAGGTATTAATGTCATGACAGGAGTCCAGAATGAAGGTTGCATAGTGGAGTGGACTTGTGGGGAGGGATTGCATAACAAAGAATTTTACTTTTAAGGGAAGGGATGAGCAGGGAGAAGTGTGTAGCAATGAATAGAAATCCAAAATCTGTAAATATTCATTAAAATAAAAGTAAATTGTCTGATATTATACTGTGATGGGAGAACTAATAAGCATTACACCAATTTCAAAAGGATTGAAGCATAGTAATAACTTGATAAAATAGTTTATTAATGATTTTAAAAGTGACAACTAGAAAGATTCAGATTTTCTCATCCTTCTAGTAATCTCTTCAGCCAGGATCCATTTGACTTCAGTGCTATGATCTTTTCTATTCATATGTATTAATCAGTGGATAACAATGGTAAAAGAAGAGTCTTTCCTTTCTGTTTGTATGGAAATACTGCATTTGGAGCAACACAAAATGATACCTTTGAGTTATGCTGGAGAAGAGTACTACATGTCCCCTGGACTGACGAAAGAACAAAAATGTATTGGAGAGGGTGGATGTTCTTTAGAGGGAAAGATGGTGAAATTTTGTCTGATTCTTTGGTCATTTTGTTTGAGGGGCCAGTCCTTGGAAAAGTGGAGGGTCAACAGAGGAGGGAAGACCCTTATGATGAATTGACAGTGACTGTAACAATGGGTTTAGTGCAGCAGAGATGATGAGGATGGCACAGGATAGATAGGGTAGAGTTCATGGAATTGTAGTTAGCTAGATAGCACTTAACAGTGTATACTAGTCATGTCATAATGAGGCTAGAGACAATAATGTGTTAAATTCAAAAGTACAAAAATGAAAAGTAAAATGGTAAGTAAATGCTCCAGTTTGAAGTGTTAAATTGTCATCTCACAGTGAACCATGTCATAAAATGCATTTCCACATCGCTTTCAGTTATATTTTGGGGTTTGGTTAGTCATTCTTAGTTTTGAGGGCAAAACCCATTTAATGGCATTTAAATGGCTTTTTGATGAACTGTACACAATACTTTGGGAATAATTTTCCTTTATTCTTTTAAATAGTAATTCAGGCATTACTTCAATTACAGAAACAACATAATTTTCCTTAGATTGGTTATTCATCACTGGAGAAAATTGCTGTTCCAGGTCCATAAGCGGCAATAAACTGCTGGAGCTGTTGTTGGCACTGAGTCAGATACATATCCCTTTGTTCCAAGTATTCTTCATTGTACTGTTCATATGGAAATACAGCATTTGGAGCAACACAAAATGGAGTGGCCCCTAAGTGAAGAGTAAATAGTGTAAGTGACTCATGTACGCAAGATGCTAAACATAAAAATCACATTGTCAACCAAAACTTATGAAAGTTAAAAATCCTAACCTCAGGAGTATTTAAAGACTTCTTTAATTTGAAACCAGTAGCTTAGAAAATGGTGTAAAGCACTGGTTTTTTAGGACGTAGAAGAGAAATGCTGATCTTTAACTTTTAAAGTTGCAAACTTTAAAAATTTCGTCTATCTACTAGACATTCATTACTGCTTTCAGGTGATAAGGAGGTGGTGTGAGGAGGTATGTGTTCAGTATTCTGCCAACACTACAGTCATCAGTTCTTGGATCAGATGTACCATAGTCTTGAACTGATAATAGCCCTTTGGAAAGGTCTTTGACAGCACATTTTCCCAGTGCAGCATGCCTTTTCTTGACTATTGTTTCTGTGGCTGTTGATTGTGAGTCCAAGTAAAATGAAGTTGACAAGGCTTCTCCATCTGTCATGTTGCATATTATTGCATGGGAGGAGATTGCCCACCCATTCTATGAAGCAGTTTATAGATTCAAACCACAGGCCTTTGGGATTGCAGTGCAGCTTCTTACCACTAGGCTACTTCAGCTTCCCATTGGTCCAATAGTGAAGATTTTGTTTTAATGTTGATATTTAATATCCACATTGAAGGCACACAGTTTACACAATTTGTGCTAGGTTACACAGAAAAAAACCATTTGACATTCCTTGTTTTGGTGTAGTAGGTTGATTATTCAAAATGGCTTTCCTAGCCATTAACTTCCTTTATTTTGCCCCTTAGCTGTGTGGGAGTATGCTAATATGAATGAAGTGACCATCACCTCATATAATGATGTGAATGCATTTGGAACATGCAGGCAAGATGGTAAACTAGTAATGGGGCTATTGGTCGGTCTTGCCATCCTAGGAGTATTTTATCAGAAAGGTACTTGCTGCAGAGGGAGGGGTGTGGGGGGTACCAAAGAAAAAATTTTCAAAGAGAGGAGTGAGCTGGTGGGGGAAGGGGGAGGGCTGGGCAGGGAGAAAAGTACAATGAATGAATGGAAATCCAAAATCTCTGTAAATATTAAAATTAATAAAAAAAGGAACTATAGAGTCCAGCTGTGAGCCACTGCCCCACAAACCTGGAGCAGAGTAGGAGGTGGGGGGCAAAGTACTTGCTGGAGGCCTAGGAAGGAGAAAGCATAATTAGCAAGAAGCTGTGCTGTAGTCCCAAAGGCATGGCACTCAAATCCACCACCTGCTCCATGGCAGGAGGATAGGCAATCTCTCATGCTATTTACTGCCTCTGAAAATAGCTGAGTTAGTTCCAACTCTGCAGCACACAATAACCAGTCTAAAGCCTGAGAAGCTGCCTGAATGGAGAATTGCATCCTGTTTCCTGTCAGAATTGAGTGGCTAGTGGACTCAAACCACCAGAAAAGCTTGCCCTTTGGATTAATAGTTCAACTCTAGAACTCCAGGGACTGGTCCCTCCTAATAACAAGTTCAAAGTAAACGAGATGAATTTTCACCATTCTGACTTACAAGGAACATTCAAGCTGTACTTCTTCAAGGACAGATTTACTTGTTCTTCTAGCAATATGTTTATACAATCTTAAGTACAATCATGCAAAGGCATCAATTGTTTTTATTTATGCATTGTTCCACTTTCACATACACATGAGGCAGTTAAAAAAAGTACCATGACTTGGGTCAGACAAATCTCAGTCTTTTTAAAAGAAGTGACACCTTTTTTTTTTTTCAGCAGAGAAGCAGGGAGCACTGATAGCCTAGTCAGTAGAGATTTGCCTTACCAACCCAAAGTTGTGTGGATCTATCCCAATAAATCATGGGTGCTCCATGGTAACAAAATGTCCAGTCTCTGATTCATATTCTCTGAAAACCCACTGGTCATCTATGAATCAATTCTAACTCAGTGGCAAAGAGTTATAAGAGTTTTACAGCATCTATGTCCAATGTGATGTCTTTTGATTTTTTTTTTTTAACTTCTACTTCCATGGACATTGATTCAAGTTCTTGAAAACTTATTAGTCTTCTGTTTATCATAATGCTGCTTATTGATGCAGTTGTGAATACTTGTTTTCTTTGTTGTAGTATAATCCATACTGAAAGCTGTAGCCTTTAAACATCATCAGCAAATGCATGAGTCTTCATTTTAGCAAGCAATGTTATATCTATATAATGTAAATTGTTCATGAATCTTCCTCCAGTTCTAATGCTGCATTTGCCATATAGCCACTTTTGTAGACTGTAGAATGTCTCTTACTGGTAAATGAATGCTCCTGAATTCCACTTTGTTTCCATCACCTGAACCACTCTGTCCCCTGCCATCACCTAAATCTGGAGCATTGGGACATCCTATTGATTTTTTTGAACCCACAGTATAATTCTCATTTATTTCTACTCCCTCTACCTAGCTGAATAACTATCATCAGTTGCCCATGACAGCCATTTTCTGACATGTCTTTTCTTTCCACTCTTAACCCTTTCCAATTCATTCTCTATATGATTTCTGGACAGTACTATTTTAAAAGTACAATTAATCACATATTTTTTAATCAGAACAGACATGACAACAATGAGAAAGTCCCTGTTTAACAGCTTTTAGTGGCCTTTCATTTATATTTAAATAAAACAATTTATGATTATTAGAAAGTTAATGAATTACCATATTTCAATGTGAGAGATGTTTCAAATAATAAAGCTGCAATTAATACATCTTCTTTAAGGACTTTATTCCTTAAGTTCAGGCGAGTATGTGCTTCAGCTAGAGCAACTCTTTAAAAAAAAAGTCAACAAAAAATAGCATGTATCTGGACTCTAAACCAAGATGTGAACTTTAAAAACACATTTTAAATATCAACATACTCTTAAGTTATTTTTAAAAATTTCTTTTAAAAGCACCTATTTTCTGATAATTTGAATAGATTGTTCCAGAAAATGCGGTTTCCATCTGGCTCGTTTTTCTTATTCTGCTTTTAATCCCCACCACACCCAAGATCCATTTAAATAAATACACACTTGGGAAAATGAACCTAACTTTCTTAGAGACTCATCTTGGCTGTGTTCTTCATGTATCTGAAACCGTCATTGAATTTTGGGATTTTGGAGTTAGAAGAATCGAACTCCCCTTAGATAAATTAATTTCTTTGAAAGAATCCATACTCCTTCAGTCCCTAATGACCCTGCCTTAGGATTCACTACTTCATGAGGCAATCCAATCTTTTTTTAAAATTGTGGTTTTAACCAAAGTTTACAGAAAAGTTGGATTTACATTCATTGTTGCACATTTTCTTCCTTAACTTCCTCCATTTCACTTTAAAAAAATTCATTTATTGTTGCATTTCCTCCCTCCCTCCTTGCCCCTCCCCCAGTCCACTTTGCTATGTACCTCTTATTCTGGACTGTTGTCATATAAATAATGCCTAACCATATATTCCTTTTACACAGTTCTTTCCTTCATCTGTTCCAATGCAGTATTCATTATTTATGACCTCTTTTCTTAGATTTCCCCCTGTCATGTAATCCATTCTTCCCCATTTTTCTTTTTGATTAAGATTTTAGTTCAACAAGCTTTTATTATGTAAAAGATGTCCCTGACCTTCCAGTAAGGCAGATGTGATATATGATAACACATTAAATGATTGCTAGTCTTCAATCAGAAGGCCTGTATTGAGTCTTTAGCATTTATTTCTCTTATGCCTCTATAAAATAATTTCTGAAGTTTTTTTAAAAAGCTTACCAATAAAACAGGGATACTAATATTTTCTATTTATTGAGAATTCAAATAAGTAAAGCCATTTGTAAGTTTTGCAACTAATTTACAAAGTATATAAGTTGAACTTGGCTTCACTTTCCATTTGTTCTTGATTGTGTCTCTTGGGACAATAGAATAGGTCTTAACCCTTTTAAATGAGACAACTCTTAAATCTCAAAAAAACCTGGAGTTAGCACATGTTTTCTCTAAATATTCCTAGTTTCTTTAAGGGCACTCTGATGGTGTAATCAACAGCAAGTCATGCTGCTAACCCAAAGACCACAGTCTCAGACAGAATCCACCAGCAGCTCTGGGGGAGAAACATGGAGAGACTCCTACTCTCAAGATTTACAGCCTTAGAAATTCAATGGAGGGTGGCTGTGAGTCAGACCCTAATTACTATAGTGTGTTTAAGATTTTTTAGTTCTTTTAATATGTTACAAGTGATATGTTAAAATTGCAATATAATTTTCAGGCCAACAGAACTTCCTGTAATGTGACTTGAGTATTTTAAAAAATTACTTTAGAAAATGGAAGATATTATCAATTCCATTTACTATTTACAGATATTTAATAGTTGATTTTTACCTTGACAGATCTTTAGCATTCTCCCCCCAGCCCCAACTCTGTGAAGATAAATATACAATAGAGGAAATTACTTACCTCAATATATGAATCACTTCTAGAACCATGCTTGATTCTTCCTGCCAGTTTTTCTTCTATCATATTTTGTAATTTTAACAAGATATTAATTTAAACTATGGAGTATTGTACTCCTGGTTCCACATCATAATTGATTTTATATTATAATTATAAAAAGATGTTTATCTATTATTCCTTGTCCTGCCTCATAATTTTCTGTGGTTACAATTTACTAGTGTATCAAACTACTGGTCTGTAAGTACAGGACTATTTAAATGATGGTACAGTCACACACTGTAAACCTGATTCTGCTATTAAAACAGTAGGGAATAAAATGCAAAAGTAAAACAGAATGAGATAAGGTTTTTTGTGCTGAAAATAGGTATACCATGCATAATTCCATTTAGGCAAAACATATCTTTATGATAAATATATATGTGTTTACATAGGTTAGCATATATGATATTTAAATTATATAAGTATATGCTTCTGTGTATAGGTATTTGATTCCTGAAAGGACATACAAAATTGTGAACAGTGATTATCTCTAAGAAGTGGAGTAGAAGTGAAGAGGGTTATTAGGACATTTGTCATTTTAGGTTTTCCTTTTATCATTCCATACTTTTATTATTTTTTAAAAAGGATTGTTACTTTTTTTTCAAAAACATTTTTATAAATATCCACTATTACAAGGAACGATATACTTAAGAATTTTTTTACTAGAGTTAAAAAATTCCTACTATCTAAGCAGCTACATTTTTTTCATTTATAAAAAAGGCAGTCTTATAATGAAATGTTAAAATAATATATTCCATCTCTCCATAAAGTTTGTGGAAATACTTGCTTGGGAAGGCTAAGGTGAAATCATAATATATAAACTGTGGTTGTTAGGTACTGTCAAGTCAGAATCAACTCATAGCTGACTCTGAAATAGTTTTCAGAGGCTATAATCACACAAGGGGAGACTGCTCATGTTTGTCTCAAGGGAGCAGCTGGTGGATTCGACAGCCTTTGGATTGACAGAGAAGGGAATAAAAGGTATCCAAATAGGCAACGAGGAGGTAAAATTATCCCTCTATGCTGATGACATGATAGTATACTTAGAAAACCCTAAA